GAGAGAGAGAGAGGGCGCATCTGAATGGGCTACAGCAGCACAACCTAAGGTGCGACCCATGTTGCTGTCACGACTCTGTCATGGCCCCTTAAGTTACCACTACTAATTAGCCTAGAGCCCTGGCCTTGGTCATTGTTTTGTGGAACCCCTCCTATTGAAAAGGTGAGTTTTTTTGCCTGAGGCCCACAACTTAGGGTTTTTTGACCCATGGGGCTACGCCCCATAGCCATGCTTCCTTTATGGACTAGGGCCTTGGGTTTTCCCTCATATCCCTTTTCTTGGATGTTATTTCAACGAGCTTACTTGGATAGATTTTTAATACTATGTTTGGAGAGTAACCACCATTCATTAGTAAATAATTGGATGTTCTGTTTATTTTACTGTTGAACTGAAGCCCCATGGTTTCACTCAATGTGGATTTATGTTTTATGTGGGCGGTATCCAGTATATTGTTGGATCTGTTGCTTACACATTCGCTTTTGGATATATTGTCTAAACTATAAAGTTCAGCAATACACTCTTTATTTCTACAAGGATAAAGTAACTCCATAACTAGCATGATTTTGTTCACAATCTTTGGCTTTTAAAAATGTGCTGTTTAAAGTGGTGAGTTCCCAATTTATTTCTAAGAATGCAAATTTCTTTTCCTCATTGTATATAATAAACATTCTAATACCACATCGGAATTTCAATGCCTGGATCTTTTAAAACATGCATGCCTTGTGATATTGTACTTCGGCATGTGAATAATTTTATGAGGAATCAAAACATCACATGGATATCTTTCATGATGATCCACACTATACTTTTGTTAGTATGGATCAAAGTGCAACAATAGGCAGAGGAATAATTGATGCTAAAGTTTCTTTCTAAGGATCAGAAATTGACCTATAGTAAGTGAAGTGGAAGAGTTCATGCAACACGCACGCATGCATGCATGCATGCATGTGTGTGTGTGTGTGTGTGTGTGAGAGAGAGAGAGAGAGAGAGAGAGAGAGAGAGAGATGCTCCATCTTTCTATGCAATAAATTTTGCAGCCCATAATGAATAGTATGCTCTCTCTACCGTCTGGACTTTCACAGCCTGTAATCCACCTAAACCCACTGAAATTTTGAAGCATAAATCTCGAAGTAAAAAACCTCAATTCTCGTGAAGTCCTAATTTGCAAAGGCTGAAATTTGGGCATTTAGGGCTTTCTCTTATCAACACCCCAATTTTTCAAAAGCACTTGTTTCTCTCATCCCTTTAACTCAAAAACCCTAATTTCAGTGGCCTATCACAGACCTTTACCTCCATATCTGTCCATTCCTTGCTTCTTTATTTATTTGCCATCTCTCTTCTTCTTTCTACACTACTTGAATCCTCATATTCCATCTCACAATCATGTCTTCCTCTCAATTTGTTTCTTTCCAAAATATGCTCCTGTATGTGGTCTCCACAAGTTGACTTCATCAAATTCCTTAATATAGGAAGGGCCTTATCAAATCCTTCATCTGTGGCCAATGACTTATGGGGTTTGTAGATGGATCTTCTTAAATCTCTTCTTAATCCCGTCACAGAGAAGAGATTGACAATGTTGAAGGATAGTGAAAAGTTTCCACAAACCCCACTTATGAAGCATGGATCGCTAACAACCACCAATTCATTGGATAACCCTCTCATAAGAAATTCTAGCACAAGTTATTGGAATACCGAGTTGGGCAAATTTATGGAAGGCTCTTCGTAATTCTTTTTTGCAAGAGTCTAAGGCACGTGTGATGCATTTGAGGTTTGCAATTCATCAATCCAAGCAAGAAAAAATGACAATCGTAATATATTTTGATGAAATCAAGGGCTTTCAACCGGCTTACCATAATTCAAGAC